TATTTTTGTATCCAAAATATATAAATAAATAAATAGTATAATGTTAGTATATTTATCATATAATGAATAATATAAATTTAACAATATTAAAAGATAATTCAATATTACGTGTGTATTAAAAAATTTAAAAAAACAAATATATATATATATATATATATATATATATATATTCAATAAAAAAAATATATTAAATAATACATTATAGATGAAGGCTAGATTGAGTCAGCTTTCATGTAACTAGTAAGATATCCATACATTCGTGTGGATTATTCTCATTTTCATGCATATACAAAATACATACTTATAAAAATAATTTTTTACATCGAGAAAAATATAATTAATTGTTTAAGTTTTAAAAAAAGATTGTGAAATTATTCAAACAGTGAAAATACAATTGATTTTAGTCGTGCAAATACATTTCTTTTAGGAATAGGAAAGAAAAGAAAAAATAAAATTAGAAAATAAACCTAACGCAAGTAAATTACAACTGAAATATCAGCTAAAGTTAAAGGTGAAATAACAGTATGATAAGAATCAAAAATAACTTAATCATAACAATATGGGTAGAGGAACCCTCCTTAACAAGTCCATCTGCACACAAATTAGCCTCTCTATACGTATGTTGAAACGTAATCTTCCAATCTAATGTCTAAAAAGTTTGAATCTTCCTTATGTAGCATAGGGGTGGAACGTAATATCGCTCTCATGAATTACTTGTATAAACAATTTTAAATTAGTTTCGTAGATCAAGGTCGAGATTCTTCTATCCCAAGCAATATGCAAGCCATGATAGATTGTAAAAAGTTCATCGTCTCACTTTGAATTGTATTTAGTTTATAATATTTTTGTCCGAAATTATTCATTTTTTCTTTAAATCAAACAAACTTGACCTATATTAACCATTTTGATAAAAACAAATAATTTAAAATATTTGATCAATACAATTGTACCATAATTTTTAATACATGTCTTATGACATATTGCCTTTCAAGGACCCTTTTATAAGGATAATGTTAAATAGGATGCAAGAGGAATGTGCTCACAATGAAGATAGAAGGCATAAACTGTTTTTAAGTTATAAGTTAATTCCTTAGTTTATTTCTTCTTTGTGTATCTTTTTTATTGTAAATATTTTATTATTATTTATCTTGTTATTTTGGGTCAATTATTATAGAAAATTACTTTCTAGTAATTTTTATTTGTGGGGTATAAATAATATTTTAAAAGGGTATAACTAGAAAATTATATGAGTTTATTAAACTTGAACGGGGCCATGAGAGCACCATTGGATGTGTGGTTCGTGTTGTTGGAGGTCCACTTGGTGGGCAAGGTGCTCACATGGTCAATTCCAACTCAAACAAGTCACATGTGTCATACTCGGTCACACTTTTAATACCTTATCATGTGACAAGCTCTCATTAACTCTTATTGATTTAAGATGTCGACATGATTCACATTTTTTGTACCTTGTCATGTGATAAACTTCTATTAGCTCTTCTAAATTTAGTATAGTTGCATTTTTAAGAAGAAATTCAAGTTTCAAATTGACACTAGGGTTAATAGTCATCAGTACAAGTTAACCTAACCTCTAGCTAGGTTATATGTAAACATAGTTAGCTTAACTTGCACCATAAGTTACTAAACTTTATAAATTGAACCCTCCTCCATCTTGTACGTCACTTTTGAGTGTGAATGAAATTTAGTTCAAATTTCTCTATTAAAAACTCTTAGTTCTCTCTTTGAAAATCTACTCCTCCTTAACTTATGATGGAAAAAAAATATGTAGATAATGAAACTCTAACAATTAATATGAAGGAAAAATTTGAGAGATATTAGATAAATTGTTTAAATATATAGATTGTTTAAAAAAAATATTAGATTTTGGTTTTTGCAAAATTTATGTAAAAAATTAAACTCCAAATGCATAAATTTTCGACATTCATAATTACATACTACAACACTACTTTTATATATATATATATATATATATATATATAAAGATTCAGCAAAGTGTATAAATATATACATCAAACTATTAGATAATAAAATTCAATATTAGCCATAATATCAAAATAAAAATATATATTTTATCATTCATAAATTTTTAAGAAAAATGATAATTGATTTTATAGTCACAAAACTAATGCTTAACTCCAACTTATCTTTAATCTAGGTTGTAACTTATCTTTAATTTAGGTTGCCTGAAAACATTTGAGTATGTATTGCTTGAGATAAAATTCAATATCTACTGTAGTAGCAAAATTATAAAAAAAAATACTTATATATTGTTATGCATAAATTTTTTAAGTGGATTGATAATTAATCTTGTAGTCATAGAACTAAAATTTAATCTTACTTATCTTTAATACAAGTTGTCTCACACCTTGAATATCCATTGCTTGAGACATTTTTAATATTAGTTTATAGTATACTTATTATGAGTCAATAATGATAATACTTTATTTGTATTTATGATATCATTTGCATAATTCTAAATTTTACTAAAAAATACTTAATTTTTTTACATTTGACATAATATAAAGAAGTTTAATAATGTAAATTTGTTAGCCTATTCATTATATATATATATATATATATATATATAAATAATATATAACATAAGTGATTAAAAAAACCCCAAATTTTAATAGGTGTGAACAATTAAGAAAAGTTAAAAATGTAATTGTGAAAACGAATATTTTTTTCTTTTCTTCTTTTCTTATGTATAGCTATTTCATAATTAAATTAGAGCTGTTAAAACGGGTCAGTCCGATTCGTTTGATCTAGCCTATCTCAACCCATCCAACCCACCAAACTTGTTGTCCAAAATTTTCTAACCCGTCCCAACCCATCATAGGTTGGTAGGTTAAATAGTTCGGCCCACCAACCCACCTAATTTTATAAAAAAATCTAATTTAAAATGAACTTCAATATAAAATAATATCTAATCTAAAGTAAAAATTATTAAACTAAGTATCATGTATACAATAGTAAAATTAAATTAAAAAGTATACAACTTTAAACAATCAAAACAAAACAAAAATTATTTTATGAGAGTAATTATTCATCAATATTAAATTTCATTGAAGATTTGAGTAGATAAATTTATAGCAATTTCATATTGTTTGACTTTATCTTTATTTATAAAAACAATGATATCTTGTTAAAATAATACATATATAATAATAAATAGTTAAGTAGGTTGTTAGTGGGTTGGATTGATAGGAGTGTAAGTGGGTTAGGTGGGTAATCTGGCCCACCATGGACTTAACCCGAGTGAGCCGAATTAAAAATGAGTCAAGGTCCATTTTTTGATCCATTATAAATTTTTCATTTTTTTAGCCCAACCCGACTCATTTTTAAGGTGGATCAGGTTGGCTCACAAATTGAAACCCACTTTGAAAGCTCTAAGTTAAATTGCATGCATATACACTAAGTTTTATCTTCTCTCTTATTTATTTATTTTTAATCTTAGTGATATTATTTTCTTGTGATTGAATTATCTTTGGTAAACGTGATTTTTAAATCTTGTAGAAATTGTTGTGATTATTTTTTTAGATAAGATATATCAAATAAAATGATCAATATATATTTCATTATTTTTTTTAAGAAAATTTTATCTTTTAAACTTTAATGATAAACTATTTATAATATGTTAAATTATCTAGTTTAGCTGTTTTATTTTCTTACAACAGTTATCTTATAGTGAAAAGGTTTATAAATCTCATAATTATTGCTATGAATTTTTTTTCTTGCAACTGATATATTAAAAAAATAGATAATTTGATAAAATTAAAAAGAAATTATATTTCAATATTAAGGTTCAAGGTTTAAGATTTTAAAGTTTAGGATTGCGGTTTTAGAATTTTAAAATTTTCTTTAGTAATTTACTTTTTTTATAATAGAATTATTTTCTTGTTAATATATATATACATATATATATATATATATATATATCATAATTTTTCTTGTGATTGTTTTATAATTGACATATTTAAATTTTTTAAATAAATTTATAAATTAAAAACTATTTTTTTACTAAAATAATTTTAATAATTTAATATATAGAAGACTAATAATGTAAATTTGTTAGTATATATATAATATATAGAATCCTAATGTTATAAGTTTATTAGCATATATATATTAAGAATCAACAATGATTATATTTTATTTATATTTATGAAATATCTAGTTGGTGTTAAATTATTATTTCTAATATCATTTTAAGTGCTCTTTTTTCAGTTAACATATTTAGTTGTAGGGCAGGAAATTAGGTTTAATACCTAATAAAAAAAAGGTTATTACTTTGTCATGGGTGCCCCGTGTTTTTTAAAACCTAAAATAAAGTTAAAGAAGTAATTCCGGTTCCGCACATGCACAGGCTCATTCAATATTTCATGGCTAATAACATATAGCCTACCTTTTTATTATAATTAAGCCTTCTTTTTTATTTTTTAAAATATTTTTAATGTTTTATTCTTTATTTTTTATTTTATTTTTTTATTATTTAATTTATAATTATCTCCTTATTTTTTTATGTTCATGATATTTCAAGAATTAAAAAAAAGATATATATATATATATATATATATATATATATATCATGGGTCAAACAAAAAAAGAGAAAGATGTATGTAAAATATAAAAAAAAAAATAAAAAAAATACTAAATTAAATATTAACTGTCTAAAAAAATATATATTTTAAGATTTTTTTAAGAAAAAAAAGTGTACTGATAGAATGAAGGTGTATATCATAAACCATATTTCATAGCAGACATAGCCAATGAAACTAACATCAAATCGCGCGACAAAATATGGCATTGCACTTATTCCTAGTATTTAGTGGGCAACCATTTGGGCCCAATCACAGACCATCAACAAAAAGGCCAACCAGCCCAGAAAAAACCATACACGCACAAATGAATCATTTCCACATTCCAGAAAATTCGGCTCAAAACCAAGGGTGGAAAACAAGCAGCAACAGAAAAGAGAACAATTGAGAAGAGTAAAACTCATAATATATGTATTTGATCCATTATTACTGCGAACAATACTACACTGTCTCATGTCTGCACAACCCTAAACGATCCTAAACCACACAACCCCCTTCAAGCTTGTGCAGCAAACTAGTAGACTCACACCTTTCATATCTACATATATAATATACTAACAAACTTAAACTATCATAATCCAACTTCACGCAGCGGCAACGGTAGTTTTCCGGGCCCTCTTGGATGGGGACCTAATGGACTTGGGCTGCTTGGGCTTCGCGGGCGTCGACACTTTCTTGGCCTTCTTCGGCCCAGCCTTCTTAACCGCCTCGCCTTTCTTGCTTTTCGGAGCAGTGGCGGTTACGCGCCTGCTTCGTTTCGGGCGCGATTCCTTCTTCTCCGCGTTGGCCTTGGTGACTTTGGTTGCGCTCTCCTTTTTCTCCTTCTTCGCGGTTTCGGATAACTTGTACGAGGCCTTGATCTTCATGAGTTTCCCTCTCGCGGCTTGGTTCTTCAGTTGCAGGCCTAGAATCTTCTTGAAATTCGCAGGGAGCACCGCCTTGTGCTTCTCCTCCATGTACTTCGCTATCGCGTGAGGGCTCGAACCTCCTTTCTCGTTCAGAGCCAGCAGAGCCTCCTTAATCATCTACAAAATTAATCAACAAAGAAAATTCAGTAAATAAATCACGCACTCGTTATGGACTTGAATAGGTAAGTAACGCAGAATTACCTGAAAATATGGAGGATGTGAAGCGGTTTTGGCCTGTTTGGGCTTCTTTTCCTTCGGCGCCTTGGGCTTCTTCTCCTTCGCAGGCTTCGGCGCCTTCACCTCTTCCACCGGCTTTTCAACGGCGGGAGCGACATCTTCTCCGGTGGCAGACATCTCCGAGTGGTGATGGTATTTGAGCAAGTAACGGAAACGGTCGGTTTTGTTTTGATGATGACTTAATCCTAACCTTCGTGTTATAAATAGCGAGGGGAACAATCTGTGCTGGAAATATTATTGTTTTCTATTGGCTGAGAGAGTTGGGTGAGGATTGCCATCGTGGCAAAGAGATATCTAGAACGTACACGTGGCGTGTATTTGAGGCATTGTTTGCTACAGCGAAAAAGGCGGTGATGTGGCTGTGTCTGAGGATTGGAATGCCAACAGTGATCGCTATAACTGACTTCTTGAAGAACGAGGAACTAAAAAAGGGTGTGTTTTCTTGCTCGTTTTCTTCTTCTATTTTCTTCTATCTCGCTTTGTTTCTCACCCCAATTTTTTTGCAGGATTAATCATAAGGGAGAGTAGATTACAATGTGGGTCAAATTAGGTTAAATGGTAGCCATTTAGGACCCGAACAAATCATCAAACATTCATCCCCCATTTTTCAATTTTAAGTAAAGCCTTCTCCTATGCAATATTCGCCAGATATTTAAAATTTGTAAATAAGCAGATAAAAGTAGTTTTTGAGCAATTTGTAAGATTAGTAGAAAGTACATATAAACAAAATAAAATTTAAATATATTTTTTTATCTCTTAAATTTAAAATTATTATTTTTAATTCTATTAATTTTTGTAAAAAAAATTATTTTAGTTATTATATTTAAATTTTGATTCAAAATTTGTTAAATATTATAACATAAAACTTACTTTGATATTCCTGTTAATAAAAATATCATATTAAGTCTGATTAATATTATATAACTGTTTCAATTTATTATTTTCATATGTGTTTTTGGTTAAGAAATTAAAATAAATTTTTTGAAAATTACAGTAACTAAAAATAACAATTTTTAATTTGAAATATTAAAAATAAATTTATTTTAAATTTAAGAGACTAGAAATATATTTAAATCATATAATTATTTAAAAATTAGAAAAATATATTCCGCTAAAATTTCACTTAGACAAGCTCACAAGTTTGGATGAAATAATGATATTTCATATTTGGTAAGATCGCTTCATGATCTAGTTCACGTAAGAGCTTAAAGCTGGGTTAGGTTTACGAACATTTTTAAAAAAATTAAAGTCATTATATTTATTTTATAATATTAATTTTAAATATATAGATTGCAAGTCATTTTAAATTTATATAAAAGAATTTAAAATTTTGATGATATGCAAACATAATATTACAAACAATCGTAAATACTAACTAATTAAGATAATTATTTTACTTTATGATAAATATGTGTAAAACAATTAACAATGATCACATAATAAAGACGAAAAATTTGTCACAAATATTAAATTAAAAATTTTCTTATTTTATAAAGATTAAAAATATATTTATGTGTAAGTTTATTTATTAGATAAATTATGAAAATATTTTTTTAAAATCTTTTTATTTAAGAAAAGTTAGTATTTAGACAATTTAAAAAGCATTTTACACGAAATAAAAATAGTCTATTATAATAATAATAATAATAATAATAATCGTTTGATTTTACATATTACATATTTTTTAGTAGTTTGTTTTTACATAAATCTGATATCAGTTTATTTAAAATATTAAATTGGCTGACTTGCAAAAAAATTTGTATAATTTTTTTTTAAAAAAAAAATATTTTAAATGAGAGTATTTTTTTTTAGTTATTCTTTAATAACCTATTTTTAATAAATATATATTTTTAAATATATAAATTATATTTTAGATTTATAATAAATAATTTATAATGTAACATAAAATTATTTTTTATTTATCAGAAATTATTTAAAAATATTAAATTTAACTAATAAATAATTATGAGAAATAAAAAATTTCTTGTTGAAAAATATTTTCTAAAAATAATCTTATATAAAAGTTAATATATAAAAGTGAATTTCATAAATATTTTGATTTCAATTTCAATTTCAATTACTTTGGAAGTTCTTTATCTAAATACTAGTGGAGTCGAGACATTTCATGTCTTTCTATTAAAGATAAAATAAAAAATAAAAATTAAGTAATAAAAGTATATTAGTGTAACTAGTGTTATAATTAATTCATTAGTTTCAATTTATTGAATTTGTTAAAATATTATTTTTTTTCTATTTTTTAAAGTAGAAGAGTATAATGGTCAATATAATATGGAGACCAAGATGGTTACTAAAAAAAGTATCACATTTATATATTAGTAGAGATTAAGCTATAAAATTTCTCTGTACTTGTTATTTGGGTAATTATACTGCAAACATTTTTTATAGTGTATTTGAATGAAGAATTTTAAAAATTCAAGAAATTTAAAATTTTTGAAATTTGAATTATGCTTATTTCAATTTTCATCACTTTTAAATTTTTTGTTTTGATTAGTTAATTCAAATTTTTAAAATTTTAAATTCTTACTTTTGATATGATAATTTGATTTTTGTCACATGTACAATTTATATATATATATATATTTATTTATTTATATTGATGTTTTAAGGTTAAATTTTATAAGAATAAATTTTATTTATTTTCTTAAATATTTAATAGTTTTAAAAATAATATTATTATTTTTAAAATATTTAATAATTAAGAGATAAGAAAGATAATATATCTATATATATATATATATATATATACATATGAGATGAGATCCGTTTATTATAAGAATAAGTATAGGTAGACTTACTTCGTTTAATAACTCAAATTCTACGTCAAATTTCAACGATCTAAATATTGAATTTAAAGTTTTTAATGCATAGATTAAGTATGCAATTTTTTAAGAAAATTAGAGATTATTTGATACTTCATTTTATTAATTCAAATTGATAGATAATCATAAAATCATTTTATACATTAATTTGAATTAATGAAACAAAGTATCAAATAATTTTTAAATTTTTCAAAATTTGCAGATTTGATTTATGCATTAAGAACTTTAAATCCAATAGTTGAACGAAGTAAATCTAAGTAAACTTACTTTTAAAATAAACGAATCGTTATTTATATATATATATATATATATGTGTGTGTAAAATAAAAAAAAAGAAAAAAAATGAAATATTTCAAATTTACATTTTTAAAAATAAACTTAAACTTTTACTATTTTAAATTTTTTTATAAATACTTAAATTTTAATTTTTTTTATAAATTTTTCATTCAAATAAAATATTTCATCTCAAAATATTTAAAATTTTTAAAAAATATAAATTATTTTATTTAAATTTCTCGCCGGAACACGCTCTTAAAATCTCAAACTTTCTTTATCTTCCGCAAAGAAAAGGTTGGTGATTATTTGATATGAAAGAAAAAAAATAAAACAACCAATTAAAAAAAAGGTAAGTCACCATTAGGTTTATTAGCAAATGAATACATAACTAACTTTTTACACATGAAATCATAGTGATTTTGATTTAATTGATAAAATCTCTGATTTAATATAATTCATTAAATTAAAATTGTTAATCAAATATTATATTAAAAATATTTGTCCTATTTCATTATTTATTTATTTTTATTCGACTAAACACTCTTATTTCTCAATTATTTTTATTTATTTTGTGTTTCGATTTATTGTATTTCTCACCCTCTTTTCACGCTACCAAACAACCCTTGCAGTAACGGGTAACCCATTGTCGTTGCATTGAATACACTGTTTCCTGCAGTTGGAACTCGTGTTGAGAAGCATTTTCCTTCCAAAATTCGCCCTTATGCGAGTGAGAGTTTGGGTATAGAGATTGATTTCTGAGCTTGGGTTCCACACGCATTGCCAAACATGGGCGCTTCAGAATCTACTTTATCAACTGGACAGGTATATAACTCTTTCAATTCCTCCTCTCTGATAATCGTGTCCTTGTTCACTGAACTCTCTCGATTTGTTATGCCCGAAGACGCCAGATGACAAAATCACCACCATAACCCACCGATCGGAAGCCTCTGACCCCATTTTGGAGCGCCTCAAATCTCTCAAAATTGTAACTACTTTTTTACTTTATGCAACAAAATTGGGTTTTTATTTTATACGAGGTTTTCATTTTGAGACTGCGAACCTTATGATTCCCTTAATTGTTCGCTGCAGACACCGCCCATATTGACGTCACCCCCAACAGAGGGTACTTTAACTGATATTTTAGTGAGGAAGCCTTCTTCGTCTTTGGTTTCAGGTGATGATCTCTTGTGGCTCAATGATTCTGTTATTTCTGATATTCCCAATAGAATTTAACTGAGGGCTTGTCTTCCAAAAGCATCTATATTATGCATCCAGTGGAAATTCCTTTTACTAAAATAACTGTGGCAAAACGTAGTGTGTCAAGCCATCTTTAGTTAGTTGATGTGGCTATCTTCCCCCAGTATTTGCAGCACATGATAGATACCGGATAGCTTTTGTTGCAATTGATTAGTCCCTAAAAGTAGATTAGCTCGTTGGTGTTTTCATGAGCTTTGCCTCTTAATACAAGCTTTTGATTTTCATGGGTACCATATGATATGACCCCGGAAAAAATGTTTTAGATTTTAAACTAAACTTGTTTTGACCTGTAACATTGGCAAGGGTACTGAAAGGTTTAAAAGTGAAAATGTGAACCTTAAGGTTTATTAATTGAAAGATAAGATCCCCTCTAACAAAACAATTATCCTGGGGTACCACAGCAAAAAGGCATCAGAGCTGGAGGAATTAAGCACCTGTGCAGAGCAACAAGATCCTAATTCCCAAATTAAGAAGTGACAACGACACACTCTCTATTATTAGTTAAATTTGTTGCAAACTACAAAATCATAATGGACTTGATTAAATACGAAGCTGTACATACCCAGTGACACCTTGAATAGAATGTAGCATTGCTGTGCAAGGATACTTTTATGGTTCTTAGTAACCGTGTTAATATGCAAAGTCTACATCTGTAAATGTTTGAGAGTTTGAGGAATGTCTGTTAAACTTTTTACTCAACATTCCCCTATTATAGATCACAAACAATAGCTGAGAGCATAAATATTTCATGCGCTATTGCTAAATTGCAATATTAATGATTAAGGGGAGACTTCTATATTGTCTAATTTGTTGTTAAATGATTTTGTTGTTTTGCAGAAACACATTGATACGTGTATGCTTTCTATGACTTTTTCATTTTTTGATCACATTTAAATCCTAATAGAACCCTTTTATTATATATCATGTTACTTGGGATCATTCTATTGCATGCAAACAGCTGCATTTAGTTCTATAAGTTTTATTGGGGCCAATTAATTAGTTTTTTCATGGTTGAAATAACTACAGTGAATCCGAAGGTTCTATTAGAGCTCTTCTCAATGTACCGTGAATGGCAGGAGAAAAAGGCCCATGAGATAAGCAAAAGACAGGTCTGTTGAATATATTAATATTTCAGTGAATTCATCTTCTAATGCACTCAACATCTTAGAATACACCCACCCTTTCCCCTCTCACAGTCACACTTACACAAGAGGAAACTTTATCCTTTCAAATGTATAATTCAGTTGCAAGTGAATTACATACACCTCCCCTACACCCAAACTCAAGCCTACCCTTTTAGCCACTCCATTTTCTAGACATAAATCGCCTATATCTGTTAATAGAAGGATCTATACCTCAGTGTTAAATTTATCATTAAAAGACAAATACTGTCAATGGTTTCAGTCAAGATTTTGAGTTGTATGATAGACACGGCTAATTTTCTACTTTTTAAAATAAAATAAATATAGTTGACTTGTACGTGAATATAGTATATAGTTGACCAATATTTGTTACATATAAAAAATTGACTTATATTTGCTAATTAGAATAAGAAGTGTTGCAGCACCAGTTAGTAACCGCAGCAAGGGGAAGACATATGTCTCTAATATTTGTGTTGTTGTTACCATTGAGTTATCTGTTTTAACAAGAAATTAAATTAAAATGGCTGCTGAATTTAATATATGTTAAATTCATACAAAGAGTTAAAGTCTGGAGATGGAGAGGGGGGGTCTATGTAACACATTCTTGAATTTATGTTTTAGTTGGGCACATTTTTATGCCAATAAACACAGAATACGTATGGTATTAACAGAATCCAGTACAAGGCATTTCATTTTGATGTGTTGGCTACACATTCCCCCTTTCTTCTGCCATATAATTTTCCATATATAGTAGTAATGATTATTTGGTAACAATTATGAGAAGTTTAATGAAATTTGGAATGTTCTGTCATTCTCTTTTCAATTTGTGAATGGTTAGTATCTGCTAAACAAATGGTGAGAGTGAGATGAGAAAAAATTGTCTCAAAAGTCATACTTTCAACCATTGTAGATTTCATATTTATAGCTAAAGCTGGTCTATTTCTCTCTTCCACTTGGGAAAACTGATTTGGCATCTGTCTAACTATTTTAATATGTACATGTCGGCAGTGAATGATTGTGAGGAAGATATTGATCAACCTATTAATACAATTTTTTTTCATGTGAGAAATTTTAAATCCTGAAGCTAATTCTTCTTATTATTTTTAATTGATTGATTATATACAGGAAAAAAATGAAAATGCTGATCCCTTCCACATATTTGATGATAGTATAACTGCATGCCCAATATCTCTATTAAAAATTGCATTTAGTGGCCTGGATAATTAAAATCTAAAAATTATCAAACTGAAAGAACTTATTTCAAAATGTCAAATTCCTATGTTGTGGCAACCCTTCAATTATTTTTGTTATTTTATTTGTGTTTTATTAAGGTCATATATATCAATGTTTAACATTGATTGGTAGACATTGTTGTATCGTGTTCCTTCTTTCTGACTTACAAAATCTATGATATATTTCTGTACGTGCTATGAAAATGGATGCAATTTTTGCAGGAGGAGATAGAAAACAAAATAGAAGTTGCAGATGCTTTGGCAATCAAACTTCTTCAGCGATTTAATCATTCAACGTCTACAATGAAGACTGCCTCACAACATCTATCGGGAGGTAATTATCAGACACAGTTCGAACAATATTTGGAATACTGGGATTCTCAACTTTATGGGCAGCGACTAACATTAACACAAGCTTTTAGAATCTGCTTAATTGAAATGGAAATACCCTCTTCAATCGTTTACATGGCTCACAAAATCATAAAATCTTGATTCATTCGCATGTCTGTCATAAATCATAATGCTTTCATAGCATGGGTGAAGAACTGATTAGTTGGGGACTACGGACTACCACTATGCCAATTCTTTTTGTATTCTATGATTGATTTTGAACACTCATTAACTTTAAGTTGGACGTGCATGCAGTTCATGGATTGCAGGTGGAAATTGGAGAGCTCAAAGGAAGGTTGACTGAAGTTATCAGTAACTGCGATGCATTGTGCAAAAGGATTGCAGTAGAGGGCCCAGAATCTCTCCGGTCATCTATCAAACCTTTTACAATTGCTACTGCTGAAACCTGCTCAAGTTCATCTAGTTTGGGGACGGTTTCAAAAACAAATCCGCCTTCTACGGAAGAATAGTTAGACCAACAGGTTTGATTCTTGCTCATATTTTCACAAGCTTCCTGCATTCTTATCAATTTTGAGGTGCTCGAGAGTCTGAAGAATGGTTAGATCACGTTCACATGATAGACTAATTTTTTATGGGGCCATGTTTTGGAGGACATGAAACTTGTCATTTAATTGAGACCAAATCATGGCAACATCAGAGCAACCCGGCCATGTTACAATGCTTCTATGCAAGGAGCTATGATGCCCGTCACCGACACGCACATAGTGGGCTTGGTTGCTAATTGGAGGCAAAAAATTGAATAGACACGTGATCAGATCTAAAGTGCTCACACCATCTAATCGTTTTTGTCCTTTTTTGGGTGGTTTTTTTTTTTTTTTTTTTTGAGAAGTTGACATTATTGTTTTTGACGTCTCTGTTGCACAAAATTGTTTTCGACGTCTCAGTTGCACAAAATTGCTGTAATTTCGGTATAAAATGAGCACATAATCGTGTAATTGTGCGACATGTTGCCAATGTCATTAATGATGTTAAAACCAATAGAGATACCATTTTCTTTGTTCACAAATAAATATGTGCACAATTGTTGATGAAGTGTCCTCATAATCTATTTCTGTGATGCGTGTTTTCATATAAAATTTGTAGATATAATTAATTTGAACTCATTTTAATTACATTGGTCAAACTAATTTTATATATAAAAAAAAACATATTTAAATTTTGAAACAATGGATTCATAATCGTTGCTCTACAAAAATCTATAACAATACTCTATAAAAATATATATTCAGAATGGGAATGTCTGATTTTGCAAGTTATCTATACCTTTACCAAAATGTGTAATTGTTTTTTATTTTTATTTTTTAGTGAACCATTATATTATATCTCTCAAATATGAAGAGAAAAATAATTTTTCACATTCTTTCTAAATAATCACTTACAACCATCTAGTTTATTATTTATTTTATCTTTAATTTTATAAAAAAAAATATAGAAGGCACGGAATTCTTTTAATAATAAAAGTCGTGAAAGGTGTATATATGAATTATCCACGTAATGTGTCCCAAAAAATGAATCCATGCAACAAGAATCTCTACGGATGCAGCTTGTGATTATGATGATCCATAAAGCCATGAGATTACATCGTAAGTGACAGTTAACCAGCAAGCCATGATCTTTACTTTACAATAAAATAATCATTGGTTTTTTTTTTTTTTTTCACTTTATATTCTCAGATTTTGACAGTTTCCATCCATCTCCTAATAATTTGAACATGTTTTGTGAAGCTCCAACCGTTCAAGTGCAAGTTTCTAGTGGTAATGCGGTATTCCCATTTTGGTTTGGATCGTTAAGTTGATTGACTGAACCAAAATTTCTTGGTTTTAACTATTGGATACAGATGCTAAACATGAAACAGATTTGGAAATTCTAGTCCAGGTAAATAAATTGTTGGGTGAAGATTTAATTGAAACAAATCAAATCATAAACATGATACGCGAACTAGATTACAAAAATTTAGCACATTAGAAAGACACAAAACAAATCAGATTCAATTACCCTTCATCTCTCTCCGGACATTTTCTGCAACATCAGATCAGATTCAACTATACCTCGAAGGCGAAGCAGATCTAATCATCCAAATTCCAAACTCACATCATCCTGAACCAGCCTTATCTCCTCAAACACAGATAGAAAAACAACCGACAGAACCCCATTCTAACCCCACAGTGTTTTATTTGTCGGTTTGGTTTTGATTTGAAAACTCGTACAGTTTTAAAGAGAGAATTTCCCTCACCAAACACATTTCACAATCCAGCAGTACACAATGAATGTGCTATCAACGCCCATTGAAAAAGAAAGGAAGAAAATAACGAATAATGCAGCAGCACAGGGAGCCTCTAAAAGACAATGGATGGATGCAGATGTATATAGCTTTAATTTAATGAATCAGCGGGCTTACAAAACAAAATTAAAAAAAAAAATCTGCCAAATGCACAACTAAGAAACAAGAAGTGCAACATGAAAACATAAATAGATTGCTGAGAAATAAAACTGTGTCAGCTATAATAAAGAAAAGGAAAACAGTAAAGGGCATGGATCTGGAGAAGCAGATCAAGGTTGTTGCTGAGCATCAATGTAGCCAGCATCCACAAGAACCTTCTCCTTCTTAGCCATCTCAACATCCTGGTCAACCATCATCTTAACAAGCTGCTGAAACCCCACCTTGGGCTTCCACCCAAGAACCTTCTTAGCCTTAGTAGCGTCCCCTTTGAGGTTATCGACCTCAGCAGGGCGAAAGTACCTCTTGTCAATAACCACATGATCCCTCCAATTGAGGCCCACGTAGCCAAACGCCACTTCCAAGAACTCCTCCACGGTGTGGGACTCTTCAGTGGCCACAACATAGTCATCAGGCTTCTCCTGCTGCAGCATCAGCCACATGGCCTCCACATAGTCCCCAGCGAAGCCCCAATCCCTAGAGGCCTGAAGGTTCCCCAAAAACAGCTTGCTTTGGAGCCCGATCTTGATGCGGCCCACGGCCCGCGTGATCTTCCGAGTCACGAAATTCTCGCCGCGACGGGGAGACTCGTGGTTGAAGAGGATCCCATTGCACGCGAAGAGGCCGTAGGCTTCCCGGTAGTTGACGGTGTACCAGTGCGCCGCGCATTTGGAGGCGGCGTAGGGGGAGCGCGGGTGGAAGGGGGAGGATTCGGACTGCGGCGGCGGAGTGGCGCCGAACATCTCGGAGGAGCCGGCCTGGTAGTAGCGGATGTGGGAGCGGCCGGAGGCGGCGATGTGGGAGCGGACGGCCTCGAGGAGGCGGAGGGCGCCGGTGGCGACGACGTCGGCGGTGTAGTCGGGGATCTCGAAGGAGACGGCGACGTGGGACTGGGCGGCGAGGTTGTAGACCTCGTGGGGGAGGATGGTGTCGAGCCAGCGGCGGAGGGAGGAGGCGTCGGAGAGATCGGCGTAGTGGAGCTTCATGCGGGCCTTGTGGGCGTTGTGGGGGTCGACGTAGATGTGGTCGATGCGCTGCGTGTTGAAGTTGGATGAGCGACGGATGAGGCCGTGCACCTCGTACCCTTTCTCAAGGAGCAACTCCGTCAGGTACGACCCGTCTTGCCCCGTTATGCCCGTTATCAGTGCCACTTTCCTTGACGCAGCCGCCTCACCGTTCGCCCCTGCAGATCCGGATTCCCCGCTTTTTTCCATTGCTTAGATTGATTCACAAAATGGAGACACACTCTCCCACTCTCTTCCGCGCCTCAATTTATGTATGCACTTCCCCACTCCAACGCGTCCAAGACTTCTGCCCCTCTCCCTGTGACTGTGAGATGATATTCACAATTTCTTACTTCCTCTCTCTCTCTCTCTCTCTCTTTACTTTTCCAAGATACTACTTTTATTATTTTACTATTCTTATTTCTTACTGCTTTCATATATTAAAATCAATGTTTTCTTCACCGCCAACGTATTCTCATATTAACATTAATATTAATATTAGGATTATTGCTCTTAAAATTAAAAAAAAAATAGTTTATCAAATTATTTAATAAATTATATATATATATATATATATAATTAGAAGGAGTATTACTTTTGCATACAAATTTTTTTATGAGAAATGTTAATTAATATTCATAGGATACTACGGTTAGAAACTATTAGGATTAGTCTAGTAATTGAATGGGGAGAGATTGAATATTAGAAGTATGAAAATTTAGGTTCAATTCTCAATCATTTTTGTAACTTTTTTCTATCTTTATAAAAAAAAAATACTACAGTTAGAAATTTTTTTCCGATGAGTGATTTACAAGTTTTTTAATTTCTTATCTCATTATTTTTTATCATAATTAGTTATAAATTAAATGTTAATATTTGAAATAAATTATCAATAAATAAAAATAATTTTTTTATAATTGAATTATTTATCAAAATCTAAAATATAATTTTTATGTTTAAAAAATTCATTCATATAAATTTTAAATATAATTTATACATTAAATATAATATTTATATAATTTATATATTATAAAAATTTAATTATATATAATAAATATATTTTTATATTATACAAGTTAAAATATTAGTTAATATATGTTAGCAACATTATTTTCCGTATAGACTACAAATAGTTTTACTAAAATTGAATTTGTTTGAGTTTTATAAGGTTAATATTTTACTATAATTAAATACTAAAGCATTTCTTTTTCTGAATACTTATTCACACTTGTTTATTAACTCGAACTCAACATTATTTATTAAAATGAAATAATCCAGCATCAGTTTATTCACATATTTGATATTACCATTAAGAAAATTCTAATAGAAGTTATGTAAATTGATTAAAAGTAATTGTTTTTTATCTTTTAGTTCCTATAAGAATTAAATGATAACTTCTTTTATTCGAAGTCAACATTATTTATTAAAATTAAATTATCCAGAGTTAGTTTTTCTTTTTTTACTTTTATTTATTCACGTATTTGATATTTTTCCAACAAAAAATTCTAACATTATATAAATTAGCATATTATTTTGCAGATCCAAATAATATGTAACTAATCTAAGAAATCTCACTCTGTAAGAGTGAATTGTCCTGTTGGGTGTCGGTGAGTGTGTGAGCTGTGAGTGATATGCGCTGGGATTGTCTTTTGGGGATGTGGATCTGATGACTTGCTGAATTGTACAACTTCCAATTACTTTAATTAAATTTATTATAATTATTGTCTTTTTTTTTAATTCTAATTTGGTCTTTTATAATATTTTTTTATTTCAATTTAGTCTCACTTTAATTTTTGATTTCAATTTGATTCCTAATAATTTAAATTAGTGCAATGTCAGACTTCCATTCAAATTATTTAAACGGAGTTAACTATTGGTCACGTGGATGCCTCGTAGATGCATAGGTGGATGCTAAATTTCTTTAATACATATGAAACCAGAACGTTTCAGGTGCAAAATTAACACACCAATAGTGCAACCAGAACGGGCGTTCTAGTTCTAGAATGTCAAACACAAACGGTCGATAATTATAATTCATGCGGGTGATTCTAAATCACGGTTGTGAATCATGCAAGAAAAAAGACCCAAGGTACAAAGCATTTCAAACACTGCATTTGATAATATTGTCAATGGGGATTGATAACTTCAATTGCTAAACATTTGGACTATACAGTGTATCATTAAGGACAATGCAGTATATCACTAAGAATAATGTTAGCAGGTTTTATTTCACTGTTAGTCAAACTGGAGTGAACCACTTATTACCAAATTGACACTATACAATCAAGGATGAAATGACATAGTGTTTTCCCTTGAAGTCATTGACCGATGTACCCCAACAACAACAACATGTTCTTGAGGAGGTACAACCTGAAGTAGAGAAAGAGGATACACAGGACCAACATTTCACCACACAACCACATGTACAAGTAGATAATGTTGATATCCTATCAGCTATTGAGTGTTATATGGTGGATAAGATGTATTATTAACACCTTCAGCGTTATCCAGATGATTTCCCTTCTCAGTAATTTCTTTGAACTTTTTTAGTATATGTTATGTTATGAATTTTTGTTTTCAGTCTCTGAACCATATTTCTGTCTTTGAATTTATGTTATGTTATGAATTTTTATTTCCAATTTTTGAACTACAGTGTGGCATTTTGTTGAACGTACGTTGGTTGGCGTTCTGGAACAGCCCATTCTGAATCTAGAACGACCCGTTCTAAAACCAGAATGGTCTGTTCTGCTGCACTCGTTGTGTGTTAATTTTGCATCTGGAACGGCTCATTCCAGATGCAAAATTAACACACAACATGTGCAACTAGAACAAGCCATTTTGATTTCAGAACGGGTCGTTCTAGTTCCAGGTGCATTAAAGAAATTTAGCATCCACCTATGCATCTACGTGGCATTCACGTGGCCAACAGTTAACTCCGTTTAAATAATTTATACAGAAGTCTGACATTGCACTAATTTAAATTATTAGGGACCAAATTGAAATAAAAAATTAAAGTAGGACTAAATTGAAACAAAAAAATATTATAAAAGACCAAATTAGGGTTTTAACCTTTTTTTGTTTTACACATAAGATATTTTTAAATATATTTTTAAGTAAATCGGGTAAGTTTTCATTTCGATGACTATAAAAAAAATATTTATATTTCAAATTATAAAATTTAGAATTATTTTTTTTTATCTTAATATAATAAAATAAGTAAATTTGATTTTGATATTTGTAAAATATGTTTTCTTGATTTTATATTCTAAAATTTAAAATAATTACTTTTTGTATTATTGTTTATTTTAAAGTAGATAAAAAATGTTTGATTTTGTGCAATATGTTTAAAAGTCTCAAAATGCGTATGCATCAAGGTTAAGGATGGTTAGACTATAAATAAACTCCATTTTTAATCTATAGATACATTTTTTTTAAGGATAAAATTGTGGCAATTTAACAAACATCAAAATGAATAATACTTCGAATATAATGATTCTAATGATGTAAACAAAATTGCAATTGGAACATTGGTACTAAAAATAGAGTCTAAGAGACTCTTGTCCTTTAGTCCCGATTAGGATGCTTGTTCAAGTATGCTTAAAAGTTTACACTACTTAAAAATCGAGACTATGAGTAGTTTATATACACCTCCCTCCTTGACCCATTAAGGCATTTTTTTATAGGCAAAATTGTAATGACCAAACAAGTGTTAAAATGGACAATACCTTGGGTGTAATGATATTAATAATTTTCATTGACTTATAATCGAGTTAGAAGAGGGGTGTAGACTACTTTTGTCCCTTAACCTCGATTTGGGACTTGTTCCCATATATTTAAAAGTCTCACAAGAGTTCTACGTACACATATCTTCATATTGGTAAAATGTTGTACACTTCAGATATAAACCTTTATGATTTTAGGCTAAAAACCTAATTTGGTCCCTTATAATAATTTTTTGTTTCAATTTAGTCCCACGTATATTTTTTGTTTCAATTTGGTCCCAAACTAATTAATTGGTTTTAATTTAGTCCCAAATTAATTAATTAGTTTCAATGTGGGACTTCCGTCCAAATTATTTAAACAGAGTTAACTTTTGGTCACGTGGATGCCATGTAGGTGCATACATGACATCCACGTGGATGAGAATTTTTTTGAAAACACCTGGAACCAGAACTGCCCGTTCTGAAATCGGAACGGGCCGTTCTGGTTGCAAAATTAAAACACCAACAGAGAATAAGAACGGGCCGTTCTGAAACCAGAACGAGCCGTTCTAAAACCAGAACGGCCCGTTCTGGATTCAGAATGGCCCGTTCCAAAACTGTGAATAAAATATTCTTTGCTTAATTGTGTTTTTGATCGCTCAAGTATTATAATTATGCAATTTTGATCCCTAAGGTTTTAATTGAGTAATTTCAGTCCTTAAAAGATTATAGTTGTGTAATTTTAGTCTCACAATTTTTAATTTAACAATTTTAATCTCCCAAATATCATAATTGTGCAATTTTAGTCTTTCTCATTAAAAATTTAATAATTTTAAAATTTTAATACATATATATATATAATGTTTTAAAACTATATAATTGTTTGCTTATTTAAATTAACGTATATTATTTTTTTTAATGTATCAAATGATATATATTTATTATTACTAAATAAATAAAATTTATATATTATTAGTATTTTAATATTACTGATAAATTAATATCAATAATATTTTTACTATATTTATAAATAAACTAATAATTTGATAAATATAACTTAATATATATTAATATACTTTTACAAAAATATAAATATATAAGATCAGATATATATTTCTAATTAATATACTTATATTTTTGTAAAAGTATATTAATATATAACAAGTTATATTTATCAAATTATTAGTTTATCTATAAATATATTAATAATATTATTGATATAATATCGAAAATTATAATATACGTTAATTTGAATAGATAAATAATTATTTAATTTTAAAA